GCTGATTTGTATTTATTAGTATTAATAAATGTATGAATCTGTGTGTCCTAGCAACTGTGTGGGTAAAAAAAACGGAACGTTTCCATGTGTCAGTCTTTGTGTGTGCGGGGTTACAGTGTGTGCTCAAACTGTGTTTCCTTTTGCGTGTGTAAAAACATATGGTGAGTCAGTGTGTCGGAGCCGTGTGCCTGTGTGTCTGTGGGGGGAGGAAGAGTGGATAGGTGGGGATGGAGAAAATTGAGGATTCAGGTTATACGCCAATAGATGGCACTCTACCCTTTTTTGATTGGCTGCTGTGACCAAGACTAAGACAGGTCTCACAAGCACCATCCAAACGGAAGAGGAAGTTGGATAATAAAATGTACTTTTTCCCTCCGTGGTCTGGGTTATTTCTGCCTGCCAGCTGCTCTTAATGTAGAGAAGCTGAAATGCAGAGGGAGTAGAGTGTGATAGAGGTTTAAAGCACTATTTCACCTACACCTGGCCATGTGTTGCCTGTATACGTGTTCATGCTTGTATATTAGCTGTCTAAACATGATTGCTTGTGTACCTGTTTGCAGTGCACTCTGTGTTTGCAGTGCGATCAGCTGTAGTTTATTGTAGCATACCCCCACTCATGGAGCAGATAATACTCAGAGTGAATTACATAAATGCTTGAATGAGTCACCATAAATCATTCCTCTACCTTTTTTGCCATGACATGCTCCAATTAGTGGAAACTTGATTAGGTACACCTTATATACCTTATAGTCCTAAGTTGAACCCTGGTTTGCCTCCCAAACTGCCATAATTCTTTATGGCTTGAATTCAACAAGGTAGTGGAAACATTCCTTAGCGATCCGGTTCATACTGACACAATAGCATCGCACACTTGCTGCATATCTATTGACTGAACATCCATGATGCTAATCTTCTGATCTATGAAATTGCTTTGACACTCTGTTGGACTGAGATCTTGTAACTGTTTCATGTTCAAGAAACCCATTCAAGATGATTTGTATCTAATAATATGGCTTGTTTCTGATGGATTGAAGCCAATCAGAAGATGGGTACACTATAGTCATAAACAGATGGGCATGGTCAGCAACAAAATTATGCTCGCATGCACCTAAAGGGCCCAGAATGTGCCAAAAAATATCCCCCCCAGTTTTACACCAATACCACCAGATGTCTTGTGCTTTCACAGATGCTCTTGTGATTTACTTGGTTGTTACAAGTGGCTATTTGAGTTACTGTTGCATACCTTTGCTCAAAGCAGTCTCACCATTCTCCTTTGACCTCTGAAAAGGGATTTTCATTCAGACAACTAGTACTCAATGGATATTTTCACCTTTTCAGACCATTCTCTGTAACCTCTAGAGATGATTCTGTGGAAAAATCCAATTAGATTAGCAGTTTGATAAATCCTCAGACATCCAGTCTAGCAGCAACAATCATGCTGTATTTAAAGTCACTTAAGTCACCTTTCTTCCACATTCTAATGCTCAGTTTGAATGTGCCTAAACCCACTGAGTTACAGGCATGTGATTTTCTGATTTGATATTTGTGTTAATTACAGTTACTGTGCAGCACCTTAACTGCAAGATATGGTCTTCATATAATGTAGTTAAAGGAAACAAATTAAGCTATATTAAACCGTATTGAGTTTCTATTTTGTCAATAATAAGGAAATGTGTCCTATTGAGAAGAACTACATAAATTGCATATTGAAAGTTTTACAAACAACAGATTGTGTCTTACAAATCTCACAAGAGCTTCAAAGATTTTCTGACTAAACTAATAACACACAAACAAAGGTAATTTTGCCGTGTCTTTATTAAACACACAGAGTAATCATTCACGGTGCAGGCTAAAACAAAAAAGTAGATGAACCTATTTTAATGACTTCTTCAGAGGCTACTTGAAGTCAGGTGTTCCAATTAAGTTAATGCCATCTTATATGAGGTTTGTAAAGATTTCTCTCCTTATAAATAAAAACATGCTAAGTTTGGGAGCTGGTCTAAACCATCCCTGAATTGAAACAACTTTCATAGGACCATAAGTGATGTATTACATAGATGTATGAACCTGATATAAAGCTAGAAAGGCATTTATACAGAGAGGTGTTCACCAGTCCAAAACTGCCTACAAACAGGAAATTCAGGCGCTTCCCTCAAAAGAGCACACTGGGAGTATAACATGCATCATAAAAGACGTGAAAAATAGAAGAAATCTAGATAACTTGCACAGCATTTTGTTAGAGGGAATAGGCACCGCACGCCAATACTAACATAGAGCATCGCAGTTTGAGAGCCCGGGTTATTCCGTAATCACTGACGGAACAGTGAATTTGCAACTCTTAAAAGAAATGTTACAGGAAAAGAATCAGAGCAATAGTGTATGATCTAAAGGTTGGGTGTTGCAATATTAAAATTACCTGATGCAAATTAAAGCAGAATGTTTGGAAAACAAGAAAAAAGGCTTGAAATGAGTCCTCAACCCAACTGAGATGCTGTAGCGTGAGCTCAGAGTTTGATAAGGTTTTATAAGGAGAAATAGTGCAAATATGTACTCTCATCTCATTGTTGTTCTGATGTCTTTTTTCAGTCTGCACTTTGAGTGATGACTCAATGTATATATAAATGCATGTTTCAATGCATATATATATGAAAATGAGCAGGGGTCATTTATTGACAAAACATGGACATATGCACATATTATCTTTTGAAAATAAATTAATAAATAAACACAAACAAAAAGCAAGCCTTACTTGGTAACAGGAGGAGCAAAAAGGGATCAACTAAATTCATAAAATGTAAAAAGCTGTAGTCATTCAAACAGGTACAAATGGCTAATATTGTGAAGATGTGGAGATGATCATCAAGCAGAGCCATACAATAGGAGTACATACATAAATATCTCATTATATTCACAAAATATACACATAATATAACAGTATATGGCATTCACTGTCTTCTAAGGTGTGGTAAAAACTTCTAGGCAAATAAGAAAAACAGAACAAAACATTATTCGATAAAGAATCAATAAGCCATGTCTGTGGAATGACCAAAAAAATAAAAATAAAAACTGCAAATGCCAATTTGTGGCCAAAGTCACCAGAACAATAGAATTCTATTTTATATAGAGTCCGTTATCTTCTACATTCAACAACCCTACCATACACATAAAGGGTCAGAGTTCATGCATATGTGATTCTTGCAACTAGGCTTTGGGTAAATGCATACAAGTTCAGTCAGTATAGAAAAAAAAGTTTCTCAGCACTGTTTAAACTGATTATTTGACTGAATATTGTTCTGCAGAGAAAATGCCCAGTCACTGCTGGAGGTGGAACAAAGTCAGTGCTCCGAGGCTCCATTGGGGTTGCACCAATAGTTCTCTGGCAGTCTGATTTCACTGGCAGTTCCACAACACAGCCTGACATACAGGGCATTAAGGGTTGAAACGTCCCATCTCTTCAGCCTCTGCCTCATAGACAGAGGGGAAGAGGGTGATGAATAAAGTAGGGAAAGAAGGAAGATACAAGGACAGTTTATAGAGACTGCCATTATTGTTACTTTAGTCTTCTAATTTACATGTGAAAAAAAATGCACAACAGGTTTTAAAATGAGCAAATCTTTGAAAATCAGTTTACAAAGATCGTAGATCACAATACACTTTATCTCAGAGTCAACTGAACAAGGATCTCAAACACAATTTACCTAGAACATCAGATTTTTCATGTAGGATACAAGACATTCTATCTTTCACAGATCTACAAACTTATTAAAACAGAACAAGCAGAACACGTCTTTGCTTAACCCTAATAAAGTGGCTAACCTAATGGCAACTGTGATCATACCATGCAGTGATGGCATACAAAACAGCTATGTATAATCCTTGGCAATATTCAAAGACCCTTCTATTAATGTATTATTATTATTATTATTATTATTATTATTATTATTATTATTATTATTATTATTATTATTAACAGATTTAAAATACTAATTTAAAAAAAAAAGAAAACATTTGCATCCTACCAACATTTTCTATGAAATTGATCTGAACCTTAGAGTTCAAACTGATTTATTATTGCATTTTTTGTTGCATTGCATATTGTCTTCATTTGACCTTTGCATTACTGATTATATCTGTGTTTTCACAAATGTTCATATAAGATACAATAATTACATAAAATGATTGAATACTATTAAACATGATGTTTCTTGTTTCAAACTGAATATTCAAAACTGAACAAGAAGATGGGGAAAAACTTCTCCACCATGAAGTTTGTTTATGTTTCATCAATATCAAACAGCCACTCAACAGACACAGACTTCAGACTTCATACAATCTTTTGGTGCTGTAGTCAGGTGTTTTTTTTTTTTTAATTTAATATGAATAATAATTATTAATACTATCAAATATTAAATAATATTATTTTTTGTGTCTTTGTCAATAAAAGCGCTTTAAATCAAAACACCCTTCGTGCATGATGCATGCAATGAGGCAGTAAACACACTGGTTTAGATGTAGACACCACATATCTTGAACATGTTACCCTTTGTACTTAATTGGAAACACTGCATAATCATATGCTAATCCACATAAGTGGATTATTAATGAATATGTCTTGGCATTTTGTATAATTGGTGATGATAGGTTTAATTTTCTATTTCTGCTGCTTTTTAATGAAAAACTAGAGCAATGGCTGTCATCTTGACAAATTATTGGGAACCAATGCAGGAATCATTTAACTCCAATTAAAATTATGAAAAAAAGGAGAAAAAATAAGTATTGAATAATAAAATGCTTACATTAGCATATAAAGGTTTAAATATTTTCTGTGAAAAGGGGGTTATTGCCATGCCTCACTGTATTAACTGGTTGCAAGTAATTTTAGTAATTTACTTGCAACCAG